AATCGAAGCAATGGTGGAGAGGCTACCTTAAATGCCCTTCCCCTATAATGATGTTGATGACTGCCTTAAATGTCTTCATTGAGTTTTCATCCAGTAGCTGCTGGAGAACAAGTGCAGACACAGAGTTAAGCACTGGAACATACTCCTGGAGTCCAGTTTTATAGAGGGAGGAGAGATAAACAAAGGGGTCAAGACTGTGCTGGAGAAAGCCACAGAAAGACCTGACCTAGCATATGGATCTCAGTTGTAAACCTGGGGGAGCAACATTGGACCGAACAAAGCCCTCTGAATGTGGGTGTCAGTTTTGAGGGCTGGGAAGTCTATGGGACCTCTGACAATGGAACCAGTATTTATCCTTGGTCACAAATGGGTTTTAGGTGCCCATTCCCCATGGAGGAATGGTCTCTCACCCCAGATACATGGTGGAGGACCTAGGCCCTTCCCCAAATGACATGATAGCTTTGGATGATCCCTCATGGAAGGCCTCATTCTCCCTGGGGAGCATATGGGGCTGGGGTACATGGGTAAGTGGGGAGCATGGGATGAGGGGATTGTGGGGGAACTGGGTTTGACATGCAAATAAGATTGGTCCTAAATTTAAAATTTTTTCAAAAAGTTTTCAAAACTTCCTTGGAAAATTTTCATTTATTCCTACTTTAACATTGGTTCAAAATTCCTTTTAGCTAAAGCACATGCCATGCCTTATATAGTCTCTGTTTATAAACAAATGTTTATATTGCATTTTGACTTCATACAGTGACTTGTGCTAAACTATCCAATAGGTGGTAAGAAAAGAACTTGGTCCTCTTTTGGGACTCCTAACAGCTAGAACAGGGGCTGTCTCTAAAACTCTGTTTCCTGCTTTCAGGATCATTTCCTCCTACAGAGTTACCTCATCCAGACTTAATAGGGGAGGAGATGCCTAGTCTCTAAAACTTGACATTCCATGGCAAACAGATATCCATGGGAGGCCTTGCTTTTTTTGAAGAGAAAGGAAGAGGAGTGGATGGAAGAGAGGATGTCTTGGAGGGGAGGAGAGAGAAGGAACTGAGGTCAGGATGCACAGACAATAAACAAAGAAAAATCAAATCAATAAACAAAGCAAATAATTACAAAACAGAAAAATTCTATAAAATAGTCAATGGACAAAGTAATCATTGTCTTAAAACTTTTTGGATAGAGGACAATCAGAGTGAGAAAACCACATACCACATGTCAGCTCTGTTGTGAATGCTATAAAACCCAATGAAGACCACCAACCACATTGTAGTTCTCATGGAAATGCCACAATACCCACTGAATAGTACCACATGGCAGCTCTAGTATAAATGCTACAATACCCAGTGAAGTCTACCACGGGGCACCTCTGATGTATATACCACATTACCCAGTGAAGACCACCAATCACTTGGCAACTCTGGTTTAAATGCTAAAATATCCAATAAAGATCACCAACCTAATGGCATCTCTGCTGTAGATTCTATAATACCCAGTTAAGACAACCAATCACATGGCAGCTCTGACATACATGCTACAATACACAATGAGGAAGCACATGGGAAACTAAGTCACTGCCTTCATAGTGAGTAGAATTTCTCACCTCAGTGTCATTCTTGCCATACATGAAATTTTCTGGGCTTTTAGAACTTCCTAATATATAGATTTATTGATACCTACATTGTGCCCCTGTTGGTTATTTTCTATTTACCTGTTAAACAGACAAAACAATGTTATGTGTATAAGAGTGCATTCATCGTGACTCTCTGTGTACTGCCAAAAGAGACTGACTATGTTGTTTATTTAGTATTAATTTCTTTGCTTGACTCTGAGATTAAAATTTTCATCATAAAGATTCTTCCTTCCCTTTCTACCCAAAAGCTTCTCAGATACCCCTCCCAACTGTTATTGAAATTTTGGCCTCTCTTTTCATTAATTGTTATTGTGCACATGTATGGATTTGTATATACGCTGTGCTGTGCCAAGTCTAAGTGAAAATGGACTTTTGCGCTCAACCACATTCCCTGAAAACAGAATTGTACATATAAGGGAAAGAGACCACTTTACATTGGGAGAGAGTGTCAAAAAGTCATAAGATTGTAAAACAGAAGCAGAGATACTCCAGAGTCATGTCAAGAAGCTTAGTCTTACATTCCTGAGAACAATAAAATCTATAATAAAAATCAGATATCAAGTAGAAACCAGAGACAATACAGTCAAGATATCACAGATATAACCAAATATCACTGGAAAAAGTCAATGAAGTGTTTCTTAGTGATATTCTGCTCCACTCACAGATTAGTAAGTACCCCAATTGTCATCAGAGAGGCATTGTCCAGCAACTAATAGGAGCAGCTATAGAGACTCACCACCAAACACTATTGGAGCCATGGGAACCCTGCAATTGGGGGAGTGAGGAAGGATACAGAGGTGTCGAGAACACCAGCAGAACATGACTAAGCATCTAACAGGGGCTCACAGAGACTGAAGTGACTATCACAGACCATGTAGGGTCTGAACAAGGTCTTCTGCATAGATCTTATGGTAGTGTAGACTGGTGAGCTTGTGGGACTTTCAAGAATGGGAGGTATTTATGACTCCTTTTCCTGCACTTGAGACTCATTTCTTCTCCTGGATCTCTTCACCCAAACTTGATATGAGGGTTTGAGCCTTATGTCACTGTAATTAGTTGTGCCACATTGGAGTGACATTAGGCCTGCTTTAAAATCTTAAAAGGGTTATTTTTTAATAAAATTAAAGAAACAGAAGAGGAGTAGATCTAGGGAAGGAGGGTGAAGGGGACTGGGAGGAGTGGCAGTAGGGGAAACTGTGGTCAGTATATAATGTATTTAAAGAGCAAATTTAAAATAAAAAACAGACATGAAGAAATGCATGATGTTTGGGCAATGTATAAGAAACCAATAAAACTTACAGACAGCAAGATTTTTGACAGGGTGAGGGAGACAATCTAAGTATTTTCCCTCCAAATAAAGAAGAAAAAGCACAATACCTTCCTGTATCATCTCATGTGTCTCCACTCTGGAAGCAGACAACCATGGAAAGAATTTTGTCCTAAAATAATCATCATTTGGGGGAATTCAGGATAATTCTTTGAAACTTATATCCTGCATCAACAGTTCCTAGTTATCAGAAGCCATGGTCTTCATATTTAAATTAAATGGTTAGAAAAAACTTAACAGATTTTTTGTGATATTCTCATTTTTTGGTGTCAGAGCCCCTGTGAAAGTTTGGGAGTGGAAATTCAATCTTAACTGCTGTAGAGAATTTACTGTCTAGTCATTTCAGTTCTTTATGACTTTATAAACTACATGTCCATGTTTTGATGAAGAGGAGTATATATTTAAGAGGTAGGGAGAAACAAAGAAATGTGCAGAGATCAGATAGTCAGACAGTCCTGGAAGAATTAAAGGATGGAGGGACTGAGTGATAGATGAAGGTACGGATGGAGGGAAGTAGACAGAGAAAGAGACAGAATGGAGAGCCAATCTTACTTTGACTAAAAATGCGTATTCCTTTTCCTCTTTTCATGGAACATTTTGAGGACTTGGTTGAATACTTTCACATAATGTGTATAATGTCTGTTAGTCATTTTCACCCACATGTGTCTCTCTCTTACCTCTGATACAGCCTTCCTTCCCAGAATCTCCTCATACATACATATCTTTTTTTCGTGTGGCTCCTGGAGTTTATTTACTTTCCTGCAGCTAGTTGAATACCAAGAAGGAAAAGTACACTCTAAAAATTATTTTTAGTGTGAAAAGTTAAGGATATTTTATGCAAGAGTTCTGAGAGTGGGAAATAGAGTGAAACTGGAAAAGACATAGAAGTGAATATTAAACAATTAATAGAAACAAACGAATAAATGCATGAAGCAAATAGAACTAGGTAAGGAGTATCAAAAATGAAAAGGATTCTAAAACTTAGCATACATACTGGCTAGAGGCCAGTAAAATGAATGAATGGATCAGTGAAGAAACGAAAGTGAGAAAGATAGGAAGGAAGGAAGGAAGGAAGGAAGGAAGGAAGGAAGAAAGAAAGAAAGAAAGAAAGAAAAGCAGGAAGCATAGGAGGAAGGAAGGAAGTAAGGGAGGGAGGAAGGAAGGATTATAAAGGGAAGGAAGGAAGGGAAGGAAGAAAAGATGGAAAATTTGAACACAGGGAGAATTTCTTTCAACTTCCCTGACACTAAGTTTACCTGTCTGTGTATAAATGATAGGAATTCCCTCTGCTCTTACATACACCCACAGATTATTACCAACAGAAAAAGCTGCTGTTCCTATTTACATTTTCAACAAAAATAAATGTGTACTTAAATATTATCTCCAATATTTGGGTTCTAAGTCTCATTGTATTCATGTTATGTTCTTCTGGATTGAGAGTTCAGATTCCATCTCTAGAGGAGTAGCCAGTGTGTAAGACTGAACTGAACTGAGTGAACAAATTAAAGAATCAAGTGTACACACAAAAGAAAACTTGAAACAAATGAACACGTGTTTATTTTCTTACCTGGAAATTTAACTCAAACAGAAAAAATACAGTTTATGAGCAACAATAAATGAATGACTAATTTGTCCTCTTGTTTATGTTGCATAACCTGTATTCACAGGGAATATTTCTCAAACATTCATGTTAAAAACAAAAGGCCATTTTTTAAGATTAATCTGCTTCTATCTTTGATTTGTGCTGTAAATGATTTTGAAGATGTTATATCTAGTATAACTTCTTTGTTATTGACTGCAAAATTGACAAATATAGTAGTCAAAGAAGATGTTTTAGGGCCAGCATTTGTTTCAGGGATAAGAGCAGATGAGCTTGAGAGAAAAGATCAGAGTTCACACTCTTAAGCCTGTGGTATATCTACCCTGGGTAGATATGTCTGTCATCTGTTAAGCCTCACCCAGTAGCACCACACCCTGGCATTGGCCAATCTGCTCACACAGGGAAGAGAGGGAAGGAGTCAGGGCAGGGCATATAAAGCAGAGCAGGACCAGTTGCTCCTCACATTTTCTTCTGACACAGTTGTGTTGAGTCACAAGCCCAGAAACAGACACCATGGTGCACCTGACTGATGCTGAGAAGGCCCTTGTCTCTGGCCTGTGGGGAAAGGTAGATGTTGATGAAATTGGTGGAGAATCCCTGAGCAGGTTGGTATTAAGGTTACAAGGTAGTTCACAAGTCGGGTGCATGGAGATGGAGGTCTGCTTTCCACAGGCACTAATTTCCTGTGCCCTCTGATTGTTTTCTCCTTCGTAGCCTGCTGGTTGTCTACCCTTGGACCCAGAGGTTCTTTGAACACTTTGGAGACCTGTCCTCTGCCAGTGCTGTCATGAATAATGCCCAGGTGAAGGCCCATGGCAAGAAGGTGATACACTCCTTCGCTGATGGCCTGAAACACCTGGACAACCTGAAGGGCACCTTTTCCAGCCTGAGTGAGCTCCACTGTGACAAGCTGCATGTGGATCCTGAGAACTTCAGGGTGAGTCTGATGGGTCTGCCCGTGGCTTCCATTCTCTGGTTTTCATGCTTACCTCTCCATCAGAAGGAAGCGGAAGAGATCCTAGGAAGAAGTTTAGAAGTAGGTGTCTTCTTGAGCCACGTGGAGTGCTCACAAAAGTTTGATTATTTTACCCTCCATTGGCAGTCATTATATTCTCTTGCTTTTGGGGGGGGAGTTTTGTTTGTTTGTTTGTTTGTTTGTTTTTCTTTTCTTTAAATTAGAAACATGCATGCTTCAAATGTCACTCCCAGCTCCCTCCTCTTGTCCATCCCATTCTCAATCTCACTCCCAACCCACAGCCCAATACTCACATCTTTTACCAGGGAGGGTGAGGCCCTCCTTGGGGATATCTCAAGAGTCTTTCATTTCATCCAGGGATTCTCTCTCAGCCTGGACACATGGGGAAGGGCCTAGGTCCTCTCACCTTTTTTTCCATATTGTAATTTCTTCTTTCTCCAGCAAACTTTTATTTTTCAGTTGTAGTTTCAAAATATATTTCTTTTTTTTAATCTGCTCTTTTTTTTCTTTTAATTTGTATCCTTTCCAGTGTTATTGGTAGCTTGTTTTGAGGTTTGAGGACAAGGAAGATATGTGTGACTTCCTGCTTCTTTACACAGCTGTAAGGAGTACCAGGGATAATTGGCTTCCTGGCTAGGGCAATAGGGTCGCTTGTCCCCTAGAGAACAATTGCCAGCTGTGGCGAAATTGATGAAAGCCTTTGAACATCTGTCTTCTGACTAAGAAAAAGCATTCACTTTCACTTTAATGGTTTCCTTAATTATTTGTGTGTCTCATAGAAGGGTTCACGGTAAGATTCAAGATTTAAAGAAGTGAGGGTTCGATTCTGACCTTGGGACTGTATTTTGCATATAAATGCTGCTGAGACAGAATAATTCTTATCAAAATTGGCCAGTAGGAGCCAGCTATCATTCTGCTTATATTTTAAGATTAAAACCACAACTGCCATTTGAAATTAGCCTGCAGTATCTGGTATTTTTTTACTGTCATGTGATGCCTGTCTTATCTTCCACAGCTCCTGGGCAATATGATCATCATTGCGCTGTCCCACCACCTGGGCAAGGAATTCACCCCCTGTGCACAAGCTGCATTTCAGAAGGTGGTGGCCGGTGTGGCCAATGCCCTCGCTCACAAGTACCACTAAAGGCCCCCTTTCCTATCCTTTTTCTGTGCTCAAATTCACTTTTTCCCTAAAGAACGACTGTCACCCGTGAGAAAAATGATGAAGGCTTTTGGGCATCTGTCTTCTGACTAATAAAGGGCATTACTTTCACTGCAATGGTGTACTAAATTACTGGTGTGTCTCATAAAAGGATTCATGCTAAGGATTCATGATACAAAGTAGTGAGGGTTTGATTCTGACTTAGGTAAAATAATCCAAGGCCTGTATTTCATAATAGGTGTTGAGATAGAAAACAGCAAGTCACAGTCCTTAATGCCCACTCCTAACCACTCAGAGTAGAACTAAATTGGAGGCTTTGTTCTCAGAATAGATTTTGTCTACATTTTTCATAAATGATTTGTTTTCTCTAGTCTTCCTCATAAATGTCTCTTATCTTTTTCCTTGCCTACCCAGCACCTCATAGACAAGTCTCTATCGAACAATTTTCCTGACTAAAGGTCCCACTATTCCCTTAAGTTTTCCATCCATGATTCCCTGGCCACATTGTTCATCATCCCTGACTCCTCTTACCGTAGACAGCCCACTATCCTATAGAGGTATGCTTAAAGAGGGAATGGTAGTGCTCTGTTTGTCATATGAGACTTTTTCCCTCAGTTCTACAGTCAAAAGGCACCATGAGTTTTCAAATGGTGCTTTCTCTGGGAACTTTATGCACCATGACATGCTCTGGCCTGAGTTAGGAGTTCATATTCAGAGAACTATAAAACTAGAGAGAATAAAAAATTTCAGTTTTTAAGTCTTATCACTGGTAATGATCTTTGCATTACACCCTGTAGATGGATGCCTTATTCTTTCCAAATATATCTATCTTCAGTATTACGGAATGGGTTGGGGATCCAATCTCCCCTACATGCTGTCTAATATCTCTCCTTTGTCTGCAGTTAGTAGAGTTAACATCATAGGTAATACGTCTTCAATTTCTTTTTCTTTCCATGGCCACCAGGGCCATAATATATTTTGGAAACAAAAAGTGAGTTTCAAGTGTTCTTTACACTACTCCCTAGTATAATTATAGTAAGAATTTGAAATGGTTGCATATAATAATAGTCCTTTTATTACAGAGTGGTCTATGCAGATTTTATTAAGATTACTCAGTAAAATCCCCAAGTTATGAGATTGTGCTACTGTCATAAGTCATGAAAATCCAATTCAAAATTAATTGAATACTTAGAGTAAGATGGGAAACTATAAGCATTGTAGGAAAGCCAGAAAGTTACAAACTGAAATGTTGAGAGTTTTGTGTTACTCCCTCAGAAAGTGATGCTCGTTTCTCAGTGGAGATCCAGAGCATGAGAAAACATAAAGCATACATCTGAATCCATGAAGAACATACATTTAATAAGGTTGAAGAGTATGATTATTAAAAATGGTTTATGTTTGTCAGAGCATGTTGAGTCATGCTCATGCAGACATCAGGAATAACAGAGAATACTATCTTCTCTCTCTGAGATTTTAAGAAGACACAGGCCTAGGGGCATAATGAATTATTGACTCCCAAATTACAATACATGTCAGAACGCTATGTATGTGCTAGTGAACAGTAAGGGATATTTCAGGTGGGTGGTGATGGCCATACAGTAACAATCTACAGCTGAACTACAGCTAATTCTACGGAATAAATATCTGGAGAGCAGAGTTACAGAATGCAAAGAAATGCATTTATAGTTTATAGGATTTAGCCAGAGAAGTTCCGGACTTTGGGCATGATTGGCATCCTTGTTTGCTTAGACAGAAAGTACCTGACTTGATACAGAGGTGAGTGTGTACTGACAAAACATATGGCAGAGAGTTTCCCAGGACTTTTACTATGAGCAGAGACACAATGATGGGGAACCAGCAGTGTCAATATGAACTTAGAAGAGATAAAGGTGGTATACGAAAATATCTATATGATGTCAGAGGTCACTAACTATGGCTCCTTTCCCATCTGTCTCCCCACCTATCCTCCCAGAGATGCTACCCATATTATTCCTCTTTCACCTACTCCCTTTTGGTGCTGAGATATAATCAAGCAATCACTGGAATTACTCAGGCACGCCAACAATGAAGTGTGCTCCTAAGCAAATTTTCCCATTTTATTTGTATAAAGATTTATGTCATATAAAGATTGATAAAGGGTACTTGACTCATTTAACAGAACAATCAACATCTGGGATATCTCAGACTGGGATGGCAACAGTGTCCTGGAAGTTGGGTGGAAAGAGCAGTAATTGATGAAAAAGATTTAGAAGAGAAGAGATGTTGATTAAAGGTGGCAGTTGCTGTTACAATAGAGCAGGGAGTTGCTGTGTCCTATTGCACTGACTGGTGACTGTTTGGCAGGAACCTTCAGCTCACTACTTGTACTTGATCCAGAAAGCCTCATTCCTCTCTCTTCAAGATCCACACTCTCAGAGAATCTCCGACAAAGAAAATATGTCAAAATGCCCAGTTCCATATTCTTGGTGGCTGTGGCAGCTCCCCTCCTGAGACTGCTAGCAGCCTAAGTCCCTATCTAAGGGCTCAGCTTTGGACCATACTTGGGCACAAACCCAGCCTGTAGTAGAAACATCATTACCCCTTGCCTACAGGGTGTATAAGTTACCTGACTTAGTTTAGCCCTATCCAACCTCTTTAGCTCCTGAGAGTTGCTTTGCTCAAACAAACTATTTTTCTCTTTATAAATTCTGCTTGCCTTGCTTATTGCATTGGTGGGGAAACATATTATTACATTATAGCAAACCTCTTAGTGACCATAGTTAATGGATTATGCATTTCAAATTTGGCGAAGTATTTGTTCCTCATTGTACCACTAATAATAAAAGACCCAAAAACTGATATTTGGGACCAAGCTTTAAGCTGAAGATCAGGAAAGCAAAGCTGCCAGCCTCTAGCCCTTAACTCTACCTCATGATGAAGACTAATAATGTAAGTCTGACATTGCTTCTTCCTTTTATACTTCTCAGATGCATGGACTAAAAGTATGTTAACATAAGTGCACAGACCACCTTTGTGTGAGCTATTTCTCTTTAGAACAGGATCAAATTTCATGTATCTCAGTTGGCTTTGAACAAACAGACATCCAGCCACATGTCTCTTAAGTGCTGAGATTAAAGGTGTGTCCCATCACTGCCTAGCTCTATTGCTAGCTAGTATGGCTGCTGGGATCAAAGTTGTTTATCATCACAGCCTGGCTCTATAACTTGTGTCTGACTTTGCTTTCTCAACCCTCATGCAAGTTTTAATAATCATGAATAATACATCAGCACACTTCATTAATTTTTCTCTATTAATTTTTATTAGTATGTATTACTTGATCAAACTGATGGCATTTATTAGGCCATTTTTCCATAAGATATGTTGAGCATATTACCTTTACATTCTCATTCCATTTCCTCTTCTCCTTTCCACTGATCCCAATTGTAGTCCTTTTCAGTTATCTTGTTTTTTTTTATATTTCCACATGTTATGCTTGTCTTTCAGAGTATGAACTATATCTTTTCTATGTCATTCTTGATTTATTTGTTTATTTATTTTATTTTTAAATTTAAATTAGAAACAAGGTTGCTTCACATGTCAATCCCTGATCCCTGTCCCTCTCTCTCCCCTCCTCCCATGCCATTCCACCAACCCTCACTTCCCTCCTCCTAAAATCCCCAGGGAGGGTGAGGCCCTCATGAGGGGTATCCGTAATCTGTCATTTCATCCAGGCAGGGCCTAGGCCCCCCAATAGTTTAGGCTAAGATAGAATCCCTCATTTTGGGATGAGAACCCAAAGTTAATTTCTATGCCAGGGATAAATATTGATCTACTACACAAGGCCCCACAGATTGCCTAGGCCTTGTCACTGACACTCACATTCAGGGAGTCTAAATCAGTCCCATGCTGGCCTCCCAGCCATCAGTCTGGGGTTCAAGAGCTCCCCCTTGTTAAGGTCAGCTGTTTCTGTGGGTTAAACAAGCCCAGTCTTGACCCCTATGCTCATCAGTCCTCCCTGTCTGTCACTGGGTTCTTTGAGTTCAGCTCAGTGTTTAGGTGTGTGTGTCTGACTCTGCTTCCATCAGTAATTGGTGGAAGGTTCTGTTTCCAAGACTCTCTGGCAGTGGGATTGTAAGCTGGCACTCCCCTGATCCATGTCTAAAACCCATACATGAGTTAGTACATGCAATGTTTATCTTTTTGTGACTGGGTTACCTCACTCAGGATGGTTTCTTCTAATGCCATCCATTTGCCTGCAAATTTCAAGATCCCATTGGGTTTTTTTTCCGGCTGAATAGAACATCATTGTGTAAATGTACCACCTTTTTTCTATCCACCCTTCAGTTGAGGGGCATCTAAGTTCTTCCAGGCTCTGGCTATTACAAATAATGCTGCTATGAACATAGTTGAACAGATATCCTTATTGTATGAATATCTTTTGTATATATGCCTAAGAGTGAATTGCTGGGTTTTGTGGTAGGCTAATTCCCGTTTTCATGAGCAATCTCCATGATGATTTACAAAGTGGCTGTACATGTTGGCACTCCCACCAGCAGTGGAGAAGTGTTCCCCTTTCTCCACATCCCCTCCAGCATAAACTGTCATTGGTGTTTTTGATTTTTAACCATTCTGACAGGAGTAAGATGGTATCTCAGAGTTGTGTTGATTTGCATTTCCCGGATGGCTAAGGATGTTGAGCACTTTCTCAAGTGCCTCTCAGCCATTTTAGACTCCTCTATTGAAAATTCTCTATTTAGTTCTGCAGCCCACTTTTTAATTGGATCCTTTGGTGTTTTGGAGACTTGCTTCTTGAGTTCTTTGTAAATTTTGGAGATCAACGCTCTGTCAGATGTGGGATTAGTGAATATTTTTTCCCATGCTGTTGGCTGCCTTTTTGTCTTGCTGACTGTGTCCTTTGCCTTACAAAAGCTCCTCAGTTTCGGGAGGTCCCATTTATTAATTGTTGATCTCACGGTCTGTGCTATTGGTGTTATATTCAGGAAGCTGTCTCTTGTACCAATTCGTTCCAGGGTGCCACCCACTTTCTCTTCTAAGAAGTTCAGTGTGGCTGGATTTATGTTGAGGTCTTTGATCCATTTGGACTTAAGTTTTGTGCATGGCGATAAACATGGATCTAT